AATTATTTTGTAACGTCATGGACACAAGAAAAACACTGTACAAAAATGTGAAATGCTATGTAGTAAGTTTTGGCAATAACTGTCTCTGAACATCAAAAATCTTTATCAACCTTCACACATTTTAATCAACCAGTGTAATATACATCACTGTTGTATTTAGCACTGCTAAAATATTACATGAACAATCAACGGTAATATCCTGAAGATGAATAGCAGAAGTTGTTGCAACAACTCTGGAAAATAAAAAAAAAACTTATTTGTCACTTCCATTGGCCATCAACACATAATTTTCAACATTAACACCAGACATAGTATTCATTACGATATTTTCATATCTATACAAGCATTCATTTTCGTGTGGGTCTTTATTAAAAGAGATATGTCAATGAAAATAAAAATAGTTACACAATGATATGAATTTTAAAAGTAGTGAATTTCATGAAGATTTATCCATAAATTCTATTGCCAACGTAAATGCATTTTTTTCTTTTTGCAAAACCATGAAATTATGGCTCAACAAAAATATCTGATCTTACAGTAAAAGCTAAAGAAATCAAAATTATATGTCAATCAGTTCCTTGACGGTACATACTTAAACAATTACAACAGATATAAGCCCTATTTCACAAAGAAATGATCTTACTTTGTCTCCATTTCATAAGAGATACGAGAAACAAAATAAGAGGCTTCTACGGGTTTCATAATCTAATACGAAATGGAGACTGTGTAAAATTCTGTTTATCACATAAATAATATTTCTTTTAACAACTACGAGTCATTTTCTTGCGCTGACGTCATAAACATGTATGAAATATCTTCTGGAATAATTAATCATATGTACAAACATAACGTACTTCTAACCTCGCGTATAAACGGAATGTTTTGTAACTATCATATATGGAAGATCGTTTGTTGACAAAAAAGGTAAATAGTGAAACCTTGTTATCTCGAAGTAGGCAGGAACGTGGGAAAACTATCGATTAACCCGATTAGTCGATTTAACTAAGACCGAATGTTTAGTGTAAAGTTTGGCAATGACCGACAAAATACTTCCGAATTATACCGGGTCTTTCAGTTATAAGAGTACGAGATAACGAGGTTCGACTGTATCTGTATGTAAAAGCAAAATATAATGTATAAAACAAAACAATTAGACGGGAATGCTAATATCATTACAATGCTGGTCACTTGAAAAAGGTTCACCTGTGTGATGTATCCACAGAAACATTGACAAGTTTTCTGTATTTGAATGAACATCCATCTTTACAAAAAACCTCCCAAATATAATAAATGTATGGGTAATATAGTTAAATTATTGAATAAAAAATGATTATACAAACTATACATGATTAAATGAAAAATTAATTAAGTGTCAGTGTGTACAACACTCATCCTTGATACTCAAGAAGTTATGATCACTTTCGCTCTCTGCACCCCAGAAACATGTAACGGCAAAATTGAAGGTTCCATATACGACACCTTATGGACATGACAAAACGACTATATTTTGATCCTTTGATGTACATTAAATGAATCTCGAGGTCGCATAAGTGTGTATTGCAATGGATTTGAAGTTGGGTCTCGCTTCTTTGTAATCTTCAAAAGGAGCTTATCAGCCTGTGATTGATCAGTTTTTCTCCTGAAACCAATCAAATTAATTCGCTTATGACTTCAATTTTGTCTGGACATATTCCAGTGGTGTAGAGAAAGTGATCGTTACCCCTTGAATGTGGAGCTTGATACAATACTATACAACTTACGGTGTTTAAACAATACTATACAATGTATAAAATTTAGATACCATACAGATATTTAAATAATACTATACAACGTATGATAATTAAATAATTCTATACAAAGTATAATGTTCAAAGAGATTCCAGCAATTTACATATCTATAATGATAAACTTAACAAAAAAATTCATGGAAGCAAAAATAATACCAGTTTAATTAAATCAGTATTCACCATCGTTTTAGCATCCTCCATACTCAGGGGTTACAATCACTTTCGTTGTCTATACCCCTGGAACACTTAATGGCAAAATTTAAGGTTCCACTTGCAACACCTTGTGAACCAGACGGAAAGAGAAGTTTTATCATTTGGTGTACATTAGGCTAATCTCGAGGTCAAATCATGGTATATTGTAATGGGTTTGAAGTTTTGTATCGCTCCTTTGTAATCATCACAAGGAGTGTATGAGCCAGAGATTGGTCAATTTTTTTTCTCCTGGACCCTATCAAATTACTTCGCTTGTGCCTTCAATATTGCGGTGACATATTCCAGGGGTGCAGGAAACAAAAGTTATTTTCACTCCTAGAGTATCGAGTATATGTTTTAGAGACGCAACGTATTCAGTCTAGCTCTTCAATCATCACATATTTACTATTTATATATAGACAATTGCATTTTGTAGTTGCCATCTGTGATAGGCATAGGTAACAATGACACACGTTGATTTGTTAAAAAAACAAAATCCACAGTGCTTTTCCTATAGTAACACCAATCATTCACCTCTTCTGAATACAAAGCCGTTGTTCACATGAAATATTTACATCGTTTTCCCATAACAATAACATATCGGCCTTCACTGGTAATTAAGGCCACTTTAATTTGATATTTTTCATCCAAATACACTGCTGTATATCATTTTCATGCAAGGAGCTATTGCATAACTATACGTGCACATCAGGTTTGTAGTTATACTCCTATTATGATAAAACCAGCTTTGTGCATGAAAATAACCTTATCTGTAATATGATTTTATTGTATGAATGAACATTTTGATAACTACGTTACTTCCACATGGAATTCAAGAAAAGACATATGACTTCAAAACTCTTATAAAATTAACGTATTAAAATGAAGTATCTTAAACCTTAAATTTATTCTTGGTTTCTAAAATTACCAAATCTCATAATGTTAGTACAAAGTTACAACGAAATCAATTATCAATTAATCATTTTCAGATCTATAGCATAGTGAGTGTTCTAAATTTAGTATTTCTCTGTATCAAATTATGCTAAGAAATGACACGTTCTAACCACTTAATCCATGTAAATAACCGTTGCTGAATAAAAATGCATTTATGGTTTTAAATATCCTATATTTCTCATCATTAATGCTAACATACTGCGTCTTGTAAAATTAGGAATCTGTTATCCATTCATGTGCCGTGTTCTGACCTGTTTTATGTCTTGCCTCCCCTGGGCTTCTTTATTCAAAAGTCACTCAATATTTCCCCTACACCCTATCAGGTAGTAGAATAGTTCAGTTTTTTTTAATCTTTTTAAACATAAAATCAGGTCTATTATACGCACATCTGTGGTAAAAATATTCAGTGTTCCGATTCTTTTGAAGTCTAATATTGACAGCAATGGTATATTACATTGTGTCTACAGTACATCTGGTGGTTAATTAAACGACATCGTATATAGAGTTACCTAAGTTGCCTGCTGTGTGTATGATATTGACTATTGATGTATGGTATCTATTGTCTGTAAAGGCTGAATAGAGATAACCAGCGGGTTGTAATTTTTTTCAAACATGAAGTAAACGAAATTGGAAGCATTCTCTATCATTTTACAGCTGTAGGTTTGTTGAGACTGATCAGACTGGTATACTTCGTGTGTAAATTTGTACTTAAGATTCATTTGTTCAGTGGCATTAACTTGAATTGTTCACCAACCACTGGATAACTTTAACTTTTGAGCAACAGGGTGCCGATTCCCATTGTGTATCTTGAAGTATGGATTGTATGCTTGGTCTGATCTTGAATTGTTTGTGTGTATGATATTTCTTGATCAATCATTGGTTTTCATGGTGTCATGAACTATTCATGGTTTCCACATTGCAATTGTCCTAAACTACTGTCAGTGTCCATTGATGTCTTTATATGAACCATTATTTACTATGTCTGTCTTGCAGTACTGAGGGTATGTTTGCCTTGGACTACTAATTGTTTCAGTAGTGCATATGTTTGTCATAACTCCTGTTGGTTTGCATGGTGTATGTGCCTTGGATTACTTAAGGTGTCTATGATGTATTTGCATTGAACTACTGATGGTGTCTATGATGTGTTTGTGTTGAATAACCGATGGTGTCTATGGTGTTTTTTTCACTGAATTACTGATGGTTTCTATGATGTTGTCTTGAGTTACTGATAGTGTCTATGATGTATTTGCCTTGAATTACTGATGGTGTCTATGATACATTTGCCTTGAATTACTGATGGAGTCTATGATGTAGTTGCCTTGAATAACTGATAGTGTCTATGATGTTAAATTGACTGCCTGACAGTGTCTATGATGTCGAATTGATTAACTGATAGTGTCAAAGATGATGTTGCATTGAATTGCTAATAGTGTCTATGATGTTGAGTCGAATACCTGACAGTGTCTGTGATGTTGCATTGAATAACTGATAGTGTCTTTGATGTGGCTTTGAATTACTGATGGTGTCTATGATGTGTTTCCCTTGAATAAGTGACGGTGTCTAATATGTGTCATTCTTAAATATTGATAGTGTCTATGATGTAATTGCCTTGAATTACTGATGGTGCCTAAGGTGTCAGTCTTGAACTATTTGTGGTGGCCATGGTCTATTTGCCATGAATTAATGATGGTATCTATTGTCTACTAAGTATTTGCCATGAATTATTTATGGTATCTATGGTCTAATTTGCCATGAATTGCTGATGGTATCTATGGTGTATTAGTCATGAATTGCTGATGGTATCTATGGTGTAATTTGCCATGAATTACTGATGATGTCTATGGTCTAATTTGCCATGAATTACTGATGGTATCTATGGTCTAATTTGCCATGAGTTGCTGATGGTATCTAGGGTGTATTTGCCATGGAACACTGATGGTATTTATGCTGTAATTTGCCTTGAGTTATTGAAGGTGTCCATGATGTAATTTGCCCCGAATAACTGATGATGTTTATGGTGCATCGGTCTTGAATTATTCGGAGTGTCCATGGTGTATTTGTCTAGAGTTACTGATGATGTCCATGGTGTGTTTGTGCCCATCTTGCTCTCTGGTCCATCACTTGACCCTCAAGAAGTCGTGAAAGGCAAATTCCAAATAGCTGAAATGTTACAATTAATCATATCATTACTGAATATTGAATTGAATTTTAATCGTACATACATGTAATTAACTTAAATACATAATTCATTTCTTCTATTGATGACTCATGAAGGAAAGGAATCTCTTAAATAAAGGGGGACAATTCAGATAAAAACTTCATTAATCATTTGCTTGCCAACAAGAAGGAAACCAGTTAACTTATTCAAAATTCATTGATCGGACCTAGTGCCTCCAGTCAGATTCTCTACCCAAGAACTATACATGAAAAACAAGAAATATTGTCCAACACCCTGATATCGGATGCCATAGCTCTTCCCATATTTAAGTGGTTACCTGCGGAACTGCCAGTCCTATGACTATGCCACCCATAACTGGAAGTTCCTTCTCTGCCAGACGTATTCCAGCGTCCACACACCCAATAGTGTAGATAATAGAAATATCTCCAGACTGCAAAATCACATCAAAATTCCATTTATTTCCAATACTGTGATTAATTTACTTATGTTGGTGAATTCATACTTTTGTGCATCTCTAAGATAATTTGCAAGTTTGAACATTGTTATAATTACCCCTTTTTAACCTTACACTCCCTCTCCTTTGTAATAATGTCTCCTTTTTTGACCTAACACTCCTCCCTCTCTTGTTAAAATGTCTAATTTTACCGGACACCTTTCCCTATCTTGTTATGTCCCCTGTTTTACCTGACACTCCTCCCTCTCTTGTTAAGATAAGGTCCCTTTATTACTTCACACTTCCTCTCTCCAATCCCCTTTTTTAACCTGACACTCATCCCTCCCTTGTTATAATGTCCCCTTTTTTACCTGACATTCATCCCTCCTTTGTTATAATGTCCCCATTTTTACCTGACACTTATCCCTCTCTTGTTATTATGTCCCCTTTTTTACCTGACACTCATCCCTCCTTTGTTATAATGTCCCCATTTTTATCTGACACTCATCCCTCTCTTGTTATAATGTCCCCTTTTTTACCCCACACTCATCCCTCCCTTGTTATAATGTCCCCATTTTGACCTGAAACTCATCCCTCCCTTGTTATAATGTCCCCATTTTTATCTGACACTCATCCCTCCCTTGTTATAATGTCCCCATTTTTACCTGACACTCGCCCCTCCCTTTATATAATGTCCCCATTTTTACCTTACACTCGCCCCTCCCTTGTTATAATGTCCCCATTTTTACCTGACACTCATCCCTCTCTTGATATAATGTCCCCATTTTTACCTGACACTCATCCCTTCCTTGTTATAATGTCCCAATTTTTACCTGACACTCATCCCTCCCTTGTTATAATGTCCCCATTTTTACCTGACACTCGCCCCCCCTCCCCCCTTGATATAATGTCCCCATTTTTACCTGACACTCATCCCTCTCTTGTTATAATATCCCCATTTTTACCTTACACTCATCCCTCCCATGTTATAATGTCCCTTTTTACCTGACGCTCCCCCACTCTTTTGTTATGTCCCCTTTTTTACCTGACACTCATCCCTCCCTTGTTATAATGTCCCCATTTTTACCTGACACTCATTCCTCTCTTGTTATAAAGTCCCTTTATTACCTCACACTTCCTCTCTCCTATCCCTTTTTTTCCTGACACTCACCCCTCCCTTGTTATAATGACCCCTTTTTTACCCGACACTCATCCCTCCCTTTTTATAAGGTTTCTTTTTTTACCAGACACTCGCCCCTCCCTTGTTATAATGTCCCAATTTTTACCTGACACTCATCCCTCTCTTGTTATGATGTCCCCATTTTTACCTGACACTCATCCCTCCCTTGTTATAATGTCCCCATTTTTACCTGACACTCACCCCTCCCTTGTTATAATGTCCCTTTTTACCTGACGCTCCCCCATTCTTTTGTTATGTCCCTTTTTTACCTGACACTCATCCCTCCCTTGTTATAATGTCCCCATTTTTACCTGACACTCATTCCTCTCTTGTTATAAGGTCCCTTTATTACCTCACACTTCCTCTCTCCTATCCCTTTTTTTCCAGACACTCACCCCTCCCTTGTTATAATGTCCCCTTTTTTACCCGACACTCATCCCTCCCTTTTTATAAGGTCCCAATTTTTACCTGACACTCATCCCTTCTTGTTATAATGTCCCCATTTTTACCTGACACTCGCCCCTCCCTTGTTATAATGTCCCCATTTTTACCTGACACTCATCCCTCCCTTGTTATAATGTCCCCATTTTTACCTGACACTCATACCTCTCTTGTTATAATGTCCCCATTTTTACCTGACACTCACCCCTCCCTTGTTATAATGTCCCCATTTTTACCTGACACTCATCCCTCTCTTGTTATGATGTCCCCATTTTTACCTGACACTCATCCCTCCCTTGTTATAATGTCCCCATTTTTACCTGACACTCACCCCTCCCTTGTTATAATGTCCCCATTTTTACCTGACACTCACCCCTCCCTTGTTATAATGTCCCCATTTTAATCTGCCTTGTTACAATGTCCCCATTTTTACCTGACACTCACCCCTCCCTTGTTACAATGTCCCAATTTTTACCTGACACTCACCTCTCACTTGTTATAAGGTCCCTTTTTACTGACATTCATCCCTCTCTTGTTATGATGTCCCCATTTTTACCCGACATTCAACCCTCTCTTCTTATAATGTCCCCTTTTTTACCTGACACTCACCCCTACCTTGTTATAAGGTCCCTTTTTACCTGACACTCCCCACTCTCTTGTTATGTCCCCTTTTTTACCTTACAGTCATTCCTCTCTTGTTATAATGTCCCCATTTTTATCTGACACTCATCCCTCCCTTGTTATAATGTCCCTTTATACCTGATGCTCCCCCACTCTCTTGTTATGTCCCCTTTTTTACCTGACACTCATCCCTCCCTTGTTATAAGGTCCCTTTTTACCTGACGGTCCCCACTCTCTTGTTATGTCCCCTTTTTTACCTGACACTCCCACTTCTTCCTGTCATTTACTTTGTATCAACTATATGAAATCTTAATCTTATGTAACACAAGAATTCTTCAACATTAAGGAATATCATGCATGATATTAGTACTGAAGTTAAACAGCGGTTTACCAACACCTCAATCTGTATACAATATACATGTATCAAAATTAAGTAAAATATGGTAGCTTTTCAAATACAAAAAAACTAATTGCAGGTATATTTAGCATGAACATGTAACAGATTACAAATGTATTATGAAAGAGAGTTCATGATTCAATGAAATATTCCATTAGGCAAGCATTTTGATTTCAGATATTGAACTGAAATTATGCTGCACATATCAATGTTAAGATATGATAAAACCTCTCACCTCTTCTAATACATCCTTTCCACACAAAATATTAGGCACTCCAGGCTATAACAAGAGAACAAAACAGATCATTTCAGAGATTCGGAGATAGGAATCGGTCAATAATCAACATCGTTTTAATATCAGTTTCAGGATATCTTATTCAACTCAAATACCATCATGGTATTTACTGTAGCACTTAAATTACTCATATGATTTAACCCCATTGACCAACAATTTCAATACAAAATTCCATGAGTACACTCTAATTTTGGTGTGAGTGCACTATAGTAAGCAGGTATTAATCTAGTGGCTCTTTGTAAACTTTGAATTATTATTATAGTGAGTACCGGGGGGTACATGAAAATTCATAGAAAATATCTTACACTTTATCTAATACATTTATAAGATATTTAATTTGCACTCATGAAAATAAAGATATTCTGTCATACTCATGAAATATATAAGACACTGAATAAGAAATCGTCAAATTTCCTTTTTAATATATTCTTAAACAAAAAAATAAGACAAAAAAGCCTGATCAAAACATAAAATTAAGCATTGTCAAAAAGAAATATCAGTACATTCTCTTATCTCAGATAACCTGATATGCTTGACAACAAGACAACACCATTTTGAATAGACAGTTATAAGTTGCATTCTACGGTTTTTATGCCATTATCTGGTATAAAATGCTTAAAAATGTTTTTATACAACAAATTTGAGAAAAACAGAAATATCATCATCGCAGTGATGAAATATTGATCTGAAGAAATATTCCTGTATTTCCCTGGCAAAACTTAATGAATATTCCTACCGTGAGGACATCAGGGTCCCTACAACAGGAGTATGGTACACTGCAACGTAGAGGGCTGGGGTTGTCGTCAGTACAGTTAAAATACTGATTACTGTTCCAGTCCCGGTAACCATTCACACCACAGCAGTACAGCTGCAAGAGGAGCACATTATTATTGTACAGTCAGTCTGTTAATACAGACCACTCTAGGGAGCTGAAAAATGTGGCCTTTATTGGCAGGTATTCATCACCAATATCAACTGTATTACATTATAAACCAAGACAAGAATATGTTATATAGAGATGGTTTACTGTATGTAGGTAGGTTATACTGTAGTCTGACCCATACTCAAAATAGACATGAATTAACATTTGCAAATACATAATGTTGGAATCCCTATATGACAATATAGCTGTTGTAAACAAAGAGTACTATGAAAAGCAGGAAGCCGTATGGGCCTAAATTGCTTACATTCTTGATCTTGGTTAAAGAGCTAGGAGAAGTCATTTGAAGGTTTCAACAAATTTGACTCCTGTGACTTGGAATATAGTCAAGTTGATTTCTTTTTGTAAACTTTGTTGAGCTTTATCCAGAAAACCTAACATCCAAATATCATGATTCTAGGACTTTCGGTTATTGAAAAGAAGCTGTTTGAAGGTTTTAACAAACTGCCATTCAGGAAACCAGAATTTCATATCATGGTGGTTAAGACTACCAAGTCAATTGAAAACTGTGGACAAACAACTGAACAATGCCATACTATATACATCCTGTCGAAATTTTTAACAGGTGTCTAAAATTAGTTCTTTTTTGACACAGTATATTGACGCGATAGAAATGAACATAAATACTGAATGAAACTGTAGTTGTACATCAGGAAAAAATTTTGAAATTATTTCAAATAATTTCTAAACAATCAGCGAAGATCAAGTGTAACAAGAATTTCCAAAATGGCTGCAAGTTTGAACTAAATATTGTTTTATCTTAAATGTACCTTTTCTTGTATCCAATCAATGGTACTCTGTCCATCTGGGTCATCTTGGTAACGTGTTATAAGGTTTTGTTGGAGGACATCAACCAAAATTTGTTTAACTTTGTCTCTGAACACAAATGCTAAAACAGCTCCAACAACCAGCAACAGGAAAATGATTATCATTGTGATGTAGTACTGGAAAAGCAGAGGATAAAATGTTCAATAATTCTTACATATCCTAATCGGCAATAAAAAAAATATTATCATAGTAACAATTCAGCTGTTTCAAGTCTTGACACTCAATCAAAAAATGTATTACTGGTAAACAGAATAGATAAAATCAATAAACAATAATCAATTAGAAATATTAGATAGATATAGATATATATGCTTCAACTATGTAAGATAGACTTCTGATAGTTGAATAGTCACAATTATAGGTAGAAATATGATACATGGCATTTTTCTTTAGTGTCGGTCCTAATATAATTCACAAAAAAAAAGACAAAATTTAGAACACAAGCATGTTTCCATTTTATACAATTCTTTAAAATGAAACTTAGAGCTACATTCGACATAAGATAAGGCTTGTATTACAAAAATCTGTAGTGCATATAGACAAATCAAATTAAAGATATAATGACTGAAGGTATTTTTCTTAAAAACTTTGTATAGACTAAATAGATGCATATAAATTTTTATGTCAAATACTTACAAATTTGAGAAGACAAATATTTTCTCTAAGAGCTCCAATACAGCCAGCATATCCAAGGATGAAAATGATGAACCCGACGATAAAGAAGATGACAGAAAGATCGAAGATGATGTCATACACTGTCTGAACCTCTTTATGGTAAAAACGATTTTTCTCGATGAAGGCCCAAACCCCAATCCCAATCAGCACACCACCAAACAGCTGAAAATAATCATTACATCTCATTACTTTGATAAATATTGTTTGATGTTTTTAAGAGATGAAAGTGACACAATACATGAAGTGTGGTCAAGATAAAATGATAAACAAATCTGGTTATGGTTTTTTATTTTATTATTTCCTTAATTTTTCACTATGACTTCAGAAGTCCTCTATTCCATCAGGTCAGGTGAGCATTTTGTTTAAAATGTTAAACAACTACCCATTTGGTGATGACTTAAGTGTATATAAATAACATATATTATATATAGTATATTAGTTAATATATAAGCAAGTTGTTTATATACTTTCATTTTCTATTGTTACAGATATCCTCATAAAAGGAAAAGTGAAATATGAAAGTAGAAAAACATCTCCTTATTTCTTGTAATTTCTGGGATTTTTTTTTTTTATTATTGTTTTTTTTTTTTGGCAGGGTAGATAAGTAGGGGGGTTGTTACGGGGTTTATATCCCTAATTCATCGAAATGTTTCTAATGACATATAATCATTGTCATACAATATTACATTTATTTAACAATTGTGTGAAAACTCAATACAAAATGCTGATGCAAATTCATGAAAGGGTGGAGTCCCATAAAGTCTATCACCTGAGAAACTTTTGACCCTGAAAGTTATAAACTTTATCAAAAAGAAATATACATTATGTAAATGTTTGACAACCCAACACAGTCAACACTGTATATGTATGAGGACAGGACACCTCCTTAGCTAATGATCAGGTCAAACTGCATATACATGTAACCTACATGTAACATACTGCTTGAATGACCAGAAATTTAAATTGTACAGGTGTCATCAATCAGCTCCAGGCAACTTGTCTACAGCCAGTCATCCTTATACATACCTGTACACTATACTTACACCTAACTTCAGTAACACAATGTTACCTGATTATATCTGTATTCCAATATATTACCATGAACTAAAAATTCCATTTTCCACAACTAATACATTCAGTAAAACAGCTATTATCATATTTAAGAAAATTTGTACTTTAACATCCTTCATTTTCATGGGAGATTTTTTTTTGTTTATATTTGGGTCCTCTTAATCCACAAATTCATACGTCCACAAATTGTTGAAATAACTTCAGCAGATTTATTAAGCTTTAATCATCCACAAAATCAAGTGTAATCAAAAATATAACTTCTTATGTGAAAAAAAAATGCAAAAATATATGATTTTATAGTACTGATAGCCACGAAACACTACACATAGTATTCGCTTGAAAAGTGATACCTGGTCACTATGGTAAGGGGACTAAATGACACTTAATCATCAAATATACAAAACAAAAAAATTATCTGGTATATGGATCAAGTTATTTGTTCAATGAAATTCATTCTATCTTTCATATCTCTTCCTTTTCAAATAATGTCACTAATTCATTAATGTTAGTGTCACAAAAATGCCTTAAAATTGTATTATTTTATCTTTCAAGTTCCAGAACACATTTGCTTTGATCTATGCAATTTGATTGGCTTAATTAAGAAAAATTAACTACTCAAATGATTAACAATTTCATATTTATCGCTATTTTTTGCATTGAGAGACATGCAGTCTGACTGATTTCTAGTATAAAGGGAGGTAACTGTCACAACTTTCTATCAGCATTTTCCTTGAAAATCTTTCTTTCATTTAATCAATTTTCAGTTGAATCACAATATGGTTGGCATGATCCTGTTCTATCACAGTATCAATGATAACAGGATAGCTACATACTGGCTACCTACATATGTGATTACTTGTAAGTCTGATTTTTAGTTTCCTATATGTAGCTCTTCACTGGTTACAGACCTCATAACAGTTAGGTATTGACATATTTACTTGTCACCAACACTATCATTACCTATAAAATCTATCTAAAAAATAACCTGCATACTCACAGCTCAATCAGAACATTTTAAAGATTGATCTAACATATATATACATACTTCTTAATGATTTACAGATCTGGGGTACAATAACATGTATATATTCATAACATTGAAAACAAATGCTTGAAAGATTACTGTATTCAGTATCCAGGATTCTGCACATCTTTCAAACTAACAGGGGTAAGGGGAAGGAAAGAAGGTTAGGCTGATGGTTATATCCAAATGTTTAAATCTTTCAAACTAATGATTTTATTGTTATCTGTCATTCAGGTTACTCATTTACAAAGAACAGGTGCTTGCAATCATATTTATATACATGTATGGATACAGATTTGATATGACATCTTTAAACTTGAATTGCCTAAGAAAATGGAAAAGAGAAGCACAACAAGTCAAATAACTGTTTGAATGCATTAAAAAATATTATAAGAATTATTCTTGAATATTTTGATTTTCATCATCAAAATAATTACTCACATAAATATTGGAAAGTGATAAATATACAAAAAATTGCAAACAGGTGATGTGACTTTTTCGAAAATGAAATGAAACAGCCCTTTCCATAATGAGTGGAAGTGGAAAAATGCCCTGCATATTGTACAATATAAAGTGGAATGCAAAACTAAATACAATCATATAAAAAATGAGTTTCTACTCCTGTTTAACCAGAATTAAAAAGGTCTTTAAATGTCCCACAAAACGCAAAACTTAATGAGTTGGAGTATATAATATAACTTGACTGGTTGCAGGATATAATATATATAATCAATATATTAAACCCTGCGAGCTATGGATGACAACTTAATAAGGACCTTAAGGACATTAGCAGCAAATATTAACACAATTTTTATCTTAATTTTGTTATTATTATTTTTTTTAATCTAAATTAAGCTGTATTACTTGTGTGATATATTCATATTTCCTTTTCCCTTGAACATCCACTTCAGTGCAATGTATAGTTAACTACCTAGGGCTAACAGTGCCAGTGTGTACACACAACACCAACAGCTTAGACTAGGATGTCAGAGCTATTTTGATATATCCTGCTATAGATAACATAAGGTTACATGCGACTAGACCATCAGTTTGACATTTAAACAAACCTCAAAAGTACAGTTTTAAATTTCATAACAAACCTGAAATAGGAAGATATTACAGAAAGACTTTCACAAATAAAAGATGTTCATTAAATATATTGCAGTGCAACTTGTAGGCAGTTTGCATTGAAATCACCCCTGTAATGTTTTAAAGCACATACAGGTTAAACAGGATCACAATTATTTTCAAGTCATACTGGAAAATATGTCAAATGCAAGCCCTTAGAGGATTTTGTATGAGAACAAACTGTAGTTATGTTTAACACAAAATTTTAATTAATTTCCAAACTTAAGTGAATTTTTTTTTCATCATATTGATAAAAAATCTAATACTGGTGACTTCTCTCCTCCCTTACATCTATGTCTAGAGTTACGTCACAATACATACATGTACATCTGTATGATGTCATTAAGCTATGGTGTAGCAACATAAACAATAATAAAAATCTTCAAATCTTCAGCCAATCAAAGCTCTGCTAGGTCATATTAGATGTTAGTTCAAAAGTGTTCTGATACTCTCTGTGTGTATTTGTGCATTGCACTTTGGTTGTGTTCAACCAAGACCAATACAAAGATAAAATCAAAGAAAGATAGTTAGAATCTTTCAGACTAGTTACAAGTGTAACATAATAAAAAATATGTAAATGTGTATCTTTAAACTGATTCTAGAAATAGCAGCTTAGTATTTAAATTTCCTACTGTATACAGTAATTGTATAATTTATAATGTGATAATATATTATTTATCTATATATCATAAAATATACTGTATATTGGTCAGTTTATACGTGTCAGTACGGTCGTTTTTACAATTCATGGTTTATCCTGTATGCTGACAAGGTTGCAGCCCTACTCGATAACAATACTATTTATGACCGTCGTTTAAAAAGCTAACGTTCCACTGTGTTGTGACTCATTACTCTGTTACTGTACACATTGAAAACATCGCAACTCAGTGGCCTGATGCGTGACTATATTCACGATGTAAACTTACCCAGCATCCGAAATTGAAAAAGAACAATAGATATTTCACAAGTGCGCTCACAAATGTGTCTTCCTGGCTGCAGCAAGCCATATTAGTAATAAGCTTCTGTCAGCTTTCAGAAGATGACAGTAGCCATCAACGGTGTTACATCGCTTTTCACCCCCGGAACTATTTGTTCAGTGGATGCTAACATAACCGGAAGTTGGAACATTTTAGCATCTTTAAAGAGGCGTGTTTATCATTATTATTTTGTTTCCTTTTCTATTCTCTGTGTGTGTGTGTGTGTGGGAGTGGGGGAGCGGGGGCAATACGACATCCTCAATTTGAATGATGAATAGTGAATTATATGAAAACGAGTGTTAATAATTAAAGAATTGCATGTAACATTATTCCAATGTCCTCTTACTACATGAGCATGACACATTACAGCGTGCATTGGATTGTCCCGATTTTAGTGTTTTAAATCAAGTGGATCAAATGAAAAGTCGAATAAATATGAAGATGGTAGCTTGTACCATATTTTTTTCTAAATATAGTATTCCTTACGTCTGAATATCTTTCACTGATTACATGTATACGTAGTTGTTATCAATCATTATCCTTGCCAAGTTCTGACCATGAACACCAAAAAATTGTGTGTGGTTACGTTGGGTTTAGTAGCTAAGATTCTACGTTGTCTTATTATAAAGTTTTATAAGCAGTGTTGTACGTTGTACAGTAAATGTTAATAAGGTGACCTGTACACTGTAACTATCCTGGTGACAGGGTAATACCACACGTTTCTTTCTTTCTTTATCTATTTATTCATTTATTTATTCATTCATTGTTGGAATCGTGATGTCAAAACACCATGTGGCCACATGTATTGTTACGTCAACAGAGAAACAAATATAAAGCGAGTCAGCCTAATGAATAGATCATACAAAATACAAACACGTGAATAGCACATTTAATAAAAATATTGAGTTAGATAAAGTTGAGAAAAATAATGAATTATACTGCATCATACAGCTGTTTCGACCCTCTAGAATACGTCAGTATGCTAAGGATCTTAATTTTAAAATATATGAGACGACGGATTAAAATCCAAAGAAATGTTAGAATCTAGTTTCATAATAAAAATCACAATTTTCATATATCTGGTAATTTTAGAGATTATATTCACTGTATTAAATATATATCTATAATGGGGATCGGGCACAAGGTTTCTGACTTATATCAAATCCTTTCCCAAAAACAATATACTCCATCTAAATATTTACACAAGATTACACAAATCCATATATTAAATAAACATGTTTTCGTGGATAATGGGCAGGTAGAGATGGGGAGCAGACAATTAGGAAATGCATATATAGGGGGAAAGTAGAGGTCTCCTTCAGGCTGATTTTTGAAGAATGGTTTCGAAACTTTGGATGATTAAGTAAATGATGTTACAGGTTGTGTGAGTGAATCGTTTTTATTTCACATGAGATTTACCAAATTTGTTGGGAAGACTTGTTTAATCAGTCTTATATCAACAGAAACCCGTGTGCGATCCTCTATCTATCTTGTGCTTAAAAAAGTTACCTTTTTGGCCAATCTAAGGGATATTTCACAGACACAATGACATATTGTACGATATAAATATCCCTGGGGTCCAATATACAGATGTTGGAGTCAAATAGACTTCTTTGAGTATCTCACAGCGTTGAGAGTCCAGCAGTGGAGACAAAGTATTAATTTAACATTATTGTTTCGTAATTTATAGCACACGGTTAAAAGCAAATGCTATATTGATCATACCCTTTAGTAGTTTCAGTAGGGTTTCAAACCTCCAAACAACACTTCATTTATCCCTCAGTTGACCGCGATAAAGACAATTTTTTTTATTAAAGTCGCGGAGAGGTAGTTAGAATCAATATACCTACCTAACTTTTAGAAACATCTAAAATATAGGACAATAGTTTGCTTTTCGATAATTCCGTGACCCATCCCAACAGCAGTGTAGAGCTGTCGTTACATTTTGATGGTCTTTTAACTTTAACGTTGAACTCCATTTTCATATTTGAATGCGATTGAACATTCCAGGATTGGGTGGCGAGCCTCGGGGTGTTTTAAAGATGACAGTCAATTCGACCTAACCGCTGAAATCTGACCCTTACAGCAACGCGTGTCCCATCCATATTACCGTATGTTGCGCTGACCAATGCCAAGGAAGTGTTGACCATCAGCTGTTACGTAGTATGACCACATGTACTTCCGTTATCAAAGTATAAATCCAGCCAGCTGTCTAGGACAAGCAGTTCTGATCTTCACAACTCAAAGTAAGTACTTCTGTATAGCTACATTTCCACAGCTTGCTTTGAAATCGCCATGCTACCCATACGTGCAGTTTTTCTTGCGTATAAGGTTTTTTTTTCTCTGGATGTGTAAAATCTTGTTGATCAATTTAATAAGTTTTGGTGCTAATTACACAGTGGAATTAAAATTTAATTGATATCTTCCGCTTATATTCAATGTACAATTTTCATTTTTAGATAATAAATAGACATATCTAAAACAAATTATTTCCGAAACGATTTCTAGAATGCATATTTTCATAAGGAACTGTATTAATTGTGTAAGTTATTAAGACTCAAAATATTGTTTATCAAAGTGGTGATGACAGAAAAAATATGAAAATATTTTCATGAAAATCGATATTTCTAAACACCAATTGGTTAAGTTACAGCTTGTTGATATTTTGTTTGCAGTTTCAAAATGAACAAGTGTATCGCCCTCATCCTTATCCCATGCTTGGTGGCCTTTGTTGTGGCCCAGTATCCCGGATATGGTCATGGCGCCGGATACGGAGTAGGAGGCTACGGAAGCGGATATGGTCTGAGTAACTTCTACTACAACTACGGTAACCAGCAGCAAGAGAAGAGCTCTAACTTTGCTCTATGTAAGTTTACATTATTTTGCCTCTCTGACTCGAAAAACATTTCTTTCTAGATAGTATTTTCAAACTCTAGGAAAATATAATAAATTTGTGCTATTACGGGACATAACCACTAAAATTAACCAAGGTTTGTGAAATACAAAGCACTTGAAAATATAAATTCTTTCTGATGTACAAAATGTAATCCTGATAAGTAAGCTTGTATTATGAAATTAATTTATTTGATTAATCTATAGCACATCAAACATGACTGAACTGAAACAGAACGAGAGATGATTTCTAAAACATCTAGATACATTCTCGCTCCCCGTCTCCTCTTAATGTAATCAAGGGAAGTAACTCTGGAAGATAAGAATGGATCTATACCGTGGTTAGTCATATGAACTATTGTTGTATAGAAGTGATAATTCACAGGTCACGGCTGTATTTTCTTTTCTTGGGGATTATCTGCTGTTGAAATGATTGGTACTTTTTAAATATTATCATATTTTTCTTTTATCAATGGCTGGTCATCTAAGTAATGTCCGAATCTTATTTTTGCAGTGATCTCTGGTCTTCTGTTGTTGTTCGCCTTCAACATTACCGGAACCTTGACTGGTTAGATGGTGTAAACAAGGGAGATGGAGATCGGCAGGACACTCACACAAATCATGGTAGGCATGGTTTACTTTCTTCTTTTCACGGCTGTTTTATTTTCATGACCCTTAGTAATAAGTTAAGATGCATTTTTTTTTCGAGTAAGAATGTAAGTAACGACTAGATTGACCTCGAATGATTAATTTTGAAACAGATCAATTTAATAAAAAAAAACCCTGACTTAATCTATTTCGATCTATATCCATGTCTATTTATTCTTTTTTTGTATTTTTACTTTCAGATTCCACACGACGACCAAAGTTAACTGTGATATATTGCGCGATGTATTATATAGTTGTTTTTGTAATGTTGATATTTATTAAAACATCTTATTGTTGTCATCAATGTGTTTTCTTTGTGTTTTGAAGTAGATTTCCTTAACAGTTTATCAAACTATTCATATTTTCATTTGCACACGGCCTCATTTCCTCCTCTATATATACATATTCGCCAGATTAAGTTTATTATGAAGAGGGACGGAAGCTACTGCGGCCGGGTTTACGGGAAATTACATACATCGTTGAATCATTTTAGACTAAACGTATGGAATATCAAGACCTAAACCTTTTAACTTAATTATTTAACATAAATAGTGCTTACTTTTGATGATTTATTAATCTTTGTTTATATCAAAATCAAACTGATAACATCATATTTAAAAAATTGGCTTTCTTTCGTTTGAACGTATGAATGTTTAATGAAACACTGATCGTGACTGGATTTTACTGCGACAAAATCTGTTATTTATAGTACAAGCGTATGTGTTTTACAAAACTGTAAAAAACATCATCACCATCTTTATAACATTTTAAAGAAAACATAGTACATGAAAAAGTATATTGCAATTTAAAGGTAAAGATCATTCATGTCATATTTTTAAACACGTGTACATTCGGAAGAGTTCATTTTGAATACTGTTTGTCTTTTAATGTTGATGTTAGTTCCTGACACTGCTTTTTCGACACAAACAGCGTATGCTAAGCAATAAGAATAGAATTTTACGGACATGGACACAAATGATACCAAGAACAAACATCAAACTCGGATATAATTACGACGTGTAATTCAAGTCTGGGACATTTATATCAGCTTATATACCATTGTATAATTAGGAATGAATTTTGGAAAATGAGAGAAAAACTCTGTAGATACCAGAGTTTGTGGATAAGGAGGATAGGAAAATTCCACATACGGGGTCTCACCAGTGCTGCAAAACCTTCGGCAGAGACACAAGTTTTACCATTTTTTTTGTTACCCTTGGGTGAATTATATCTACCCCATGTTTACATGTACGTAACAAAGAGGGTGCAGAACTATTTACAGTAAAGCCACCGGGAATTGTATTATGATAACTTAGAGACAAACGTTAATGGCAGGTAACAGATTCCAACAACGTAGATAAAAGGAAAGTAGGGAATTCGGTGTGGAAGGATTTGGCATGAAATCGACAGCATCAAGAGAGTTAAATGGGATATTAATAAAAATATTAAGGGTAGTAAAGGTTTACTTTATCATGAAGATACGTACAATGCTAACAACCGAGTATTCCTGCAGCAATTGGAATTTCTTAAGGGATAAAGAGTGTCGATAAAAGGACATGGTTTTGAACTTTTTCTAAAACTTAAATAAACGTAATGTGGTTACTCGCGGACCTTCCGGTATATCCCGTCAAATATTTTCAGGCCTTAAAAGAAGCTGATGCCGCTCGGTACAAATTTTAGCGAGCTGCGATGTTACGTGACACTATGGCATCGCTGATAACCTAGGCAGGGGGGTGGGGGGTCTTCCCTATATGATAAGTGATGAGATGTACGTCTCACATCTTTAATGTGTTTTCCACTACGGACACACCTGGAGGTACACTTTGTTGACGGGAACGCGTATGATACATAATTCTCTTTCCATATGAAGCGGTCGGAGTATACAAGGGTTTTCCTCTGTATCTGAGTAGTTTTACCACCTAATACTTCACCAGTTGTCATAAAGGAAATATTTTATATTAGTGAACAACTAACAGATGTGAAAATGTCTGTGTATTATCTAATCCTGCGACTGTTATCGATATTAGAGAATATATCAGCATCAATGAACGATTGTAGCTATTAGATTGACGGTCGAAAGAGATTTGAGGTCACCCGAGAGAAAGCCTCATGGTGACCTATTGCGATCCTTGTTTGTCCGACTTCGTGCGTCGTTAACTTTTAATATTTTCGACTTCTTCTGGAAAACTCCTGAAAAGATTTCAATGAAATTTTACAAAAAACTTCCCACGGCAAAAGGCGCATCAAAAAATGTAAATTATATGGTCCCAACGCCAAGGGACCTGGCGAAATTGATTTGAACTTGAAAAATCTTCTCAAATCCCTGGCATGCTAGAATCAAGAGTTCTTCATGAATGGAAGGCCTTCAGATACTTTACCAGAATAGTAAATTTTGATACCCGAGGGTCTCACATTTCCCCCGGGGGAAGGGGTAAAGTTAACTATAGTTTATATAGGAAAATTAAATTTTCGAACAATATTTGTTAATTTTCATTTGGATTTTGTTCAAACCTGGTTACAATTAATAGTTTAAGATGACAGCATAATTAGATGCACATATTGACCTCGGCTGACCTCCAGGAGCTCTTGAACAGGGTCAAAAATGGGTAAAATTGACTGAAACTTCTAAGATGTTCTACTGTTCCTGGATGGATGATTTAATATGTCTTATACGCGTTCACATCACCTATTTACCAGGGCTTAAAAGTAGCTGATGCCGCTCGGTTCAAATTTTAGTGAGCTGCGAGGTCAAGTGACACTGTGACGTCGCTAATAACCTGGACATGATGATCTTCCCTTTTATATATTGTAAGTAATAAGACGCACGCCTTACATATCTAATGTGTTTTCCAACACGGACACACCTGGAAGTAAAAATTGCTGACGAGAACGCGTATGAGACATAATTTTCTGTCCATATGAAGCGGTCGGAGTATACAAGGGGTTTCCTCTGTATTTGAGTAATTTTACCGCCAAATACTTCATCAGTTGTCACAAAGGAAATATTTTATATTAGTGAACAACTAACAGATGTGAAAATGTCCAAGTATGATCTAATCCTGCGATTGTTATCGATATTGGAGAATATATCAGCATCAATGAACGATTGTAGCTATTAGATTTTAGGTCACCTGAGAGAAAGTCTCAGGGTGACCTATTGCGATCCTGTTTTGTCCGCCATCGTGCGTCCTAAGCTTTTTAATATTTTCGACTCCTTCTGGAAAACCCCTCAACTGATTTCAATAAACTTTTACAATAACCTTCCATGGCTGAAGACGCACCACTATTGTAAATTATATAATTCCCAATCCCCAGGGACCTGAGAGGCGGGGCCAAAAGAGGTTAAATTGATTGGAGAGCTTCAACAATCTTCTCAAATCTCAGGTATGGTAGAATCGAGTACTCTTCATAGAAGGAAAGTCTTCAGATGCTTTACCAGAATTATGAATTTCATGACCCCAGGGTCTCACATTTCCCCCTAAGGAGGGGATAAAGTTTAATATAGTTTATATGAGGAAATTTTAATTTTGAACATGATTTGTTAATTTGTAATTGGATATAGTTCAAACCTGCTTAGAATTATTAGTTTAAGGTAACAGTATAATGAGATGCACATATTGACCTCGGCTGACCTCCAGGGACTGATGGGAAGGGCCAAAAATAGTTAAAATTGACTGAAATTTCAAAGGTGTTCTACTTGTGTCTTGATGGAAGATTTTATATAGGGAAATTCAAATCTTGAGTGTAATTTCTTTTAATCTAAACTTGGTTAGAAGCCTTAGTATGGGACAGCAGTTAATGTGTACATAAGTTACATTTGCATTACGTGTACAATATAGTAAAAGTTATATTACATTTTTAACAAAATCATTTATATGACATGTTTCAAGATATGAATTCTAATATTTCAAAATGTGTTGTCAACAAATCTGTCGAAATAGGTTACTTTGATTAAACTTTGATTAACAAGTAATTTTCCACAGAGCCTGGTTTAGAGAATGAAGTATCAAATTTTTGTTTCTGAGCGGGATTGTTAAATGGGGTAGATAACTACATGTGTTCCTCAACTGTTGATACAAAGTGTTCTAACAGTGATATACTGAAATCAATACAACGTCTTTCTTGCAGCTGATACAATTACCGTCATATTGTCTCGAATTGAAAACCACATGATTTGAATCATGATCCGCCTGTTATCCAGTAAATTTTCATATATATATATATATTTTCGAAAATGTCACCAGTATTGTACCTCGGGCGATTTTTGTCAGAAATCGATTGTGATGTCATAATATTGACAATGACGTTAACTTTGGAATTGAAAAAGGCGCAGTGAAATGATTGACTCCCTTTGATTTTGTCCTGCACATCGCTTGTGTTAGTTCATACGCCTATGAAGATACTTACGTTTTGGTTTTGTAATGATTTCCCCATTTTATGCTAAAATATATAAACAATTACAAATTAGCAAGAATTCATATGTGAAGAGACCTTTTTTCAGACAACTACGTACACATAAACCCAATATTTAAAAGCCAAAATTTCTCACCCATATCCAGTACTATGTATCATATAAATCAAACTTCTTCCGACCTGTCTACCACTGAGTACAATATACCACAAAAAGACGTGTCTCACAATCTTGGAATTTTTGTTTCCGACTAGAACATGTCCTAGTTGAAAAATCAAATTAATGGAAATATATGTTGTTTGTAAAGGGCAACAACAATTCAACAGTACATAAATAATCATTTAGATTTGAAGTGGGAGATTTTCAACATTATATATTATATATATATTACATTCGCTTGAAGCAAAACTGTTGATACGGTACATTGTAATAAGTTGAATTGATAAACCGACCTTGTATAAACCCAGTGTGATATTATACCGAACTACAAAAGGTGATAAACAAAAGTAAGTGTTATAAGACCCTTGTCGTTTATATTTTGGGATATTAAGGATATTTTCAATAATATCCCATGCATGTGATGTTGATATTATATTTAACATGTGATGATAGATTCCTAATACTTAAAATGTCTTGTATTTCTCTATAAGGAAGATAAGATTTAATGCAATGGAATCCAACATCATCCGGCTTCGTACTTCTCGTCATGAACTTCATCTCCATTTTCTTGTTTTCTATTAGTTAATTCAGAAATAATTTGAAATTAGTTAGCGTAAGAACGTAGATCTATCTCAAATATTTGATGATGTAATCGGATGGAAAAAAACTGCCCAGGAAGTGTTGACCATCAGCTGTTACGTAGTATGACCCAATGTACTTCCGTTACCACAGTATAAATCCAGTCAGCTGTCCAGGACAAGCAGTTCTGATCTTCACAACTCAACGTAAGTACTACAGTTATATTTCCACAGTTTGTTTCGTAATTATGATACTTAACATACATGTAGTTTTTTTTCCATATAAGGTTTTTTTTTCTAAATGTGTTATATCTTGTTTACCGATTTAATTAATTAAGTTTTAGGTACTGATGAAACAATGAAACTGAAAATTAACTGATATCTTCAACTTAAATATAATATAAGATATATTCAAAACAAATTATTAGCGAAACGATTTCTAATATTTATATCTTTTAAACAAGAAACTGTATTAATTGTGTACGTTATTAAGGATCAAAGTTTTGTATACCAAAGTGATAATGACAAAAAAAAGATAAAACTATTTTCATGACGACCGATATTTCTAAACAGCAATTACTTACATTACAGTTTGTTAATATTTTGTTTGCAGTTTCAAAATGAACAAGTGTATCGCCCTCATCCTTATCCCATGCTTGGTGGCCTTTGTTGTGGCCCAGTATCCCGGATATGGTCATGGCGCCGGATACGGAGTAGGAGGCTACGGAAGCGGATATGGTCTGAGTAACTTCTACTACAACTACGGTAACCAGCAGCAAGAGAAGAGCTCTAACTTTGCTCTCTGTAAGTTTACATCATTTTGCCTCTGTCCATCGATCTTTTATCTTTATTTTATCGTGAAAAGACAACATAATTCCGATCTTGTTAACAATTAAGCTGATATTATGAAATGAACTTATTTTATTCAGCTATATCACTTCAAGTACGACTTAACTGAAACGGAATGAACATCGAGTAATCGATTTTGAAAATAACTTGATAAGCATCATTTTCGCTTCCCGTCCTCTTCCCCTTCCATTCGGATGTAAAGCTGTACCAACTAACGGTAATGAAGGGAAGTAACTCTGGTAGATCAAAATGGATCTGTACCCTATTTTGTCGTCAGAACTTTAATATCAAATTTCACGTATTTGATGTTTTAATGAAGGTTTCCTATTTTGTTGTCTAGTAGCGATAAATTCAAAGCTACATTTTTTTTTCTCGTCGATTATCCGCAATAAAAACAATATTGGTACATGGTCATTAAGGTAACGTCCGAAACTTGTTTTTTGCAGTGATCTCTGGTCTTCTGTTGTTGTTCGCCTTCAACATTACCGGAACCTTGACTGGTTAGATGTAAACAAGAGAGAAGGAGATCGGCAAGACACTCACACAAATCATGGTAAGCATGGTTTGTTTTCTTCTTTTTAAGATTGTAGTATATGGTTAATCCTTCAACAAGTTTAAGAATGCATTTAGCACGCAGGAATGTTACACGTGCGCTAAAACGGCTTAATTGACCTCTGATACTGATCTTTAAAAAATCTCTCCGACTTAATTTATTTCAACATATATCCTTGTCTATTTATTCTGTGTTTTGTTTACTTTCAGATTCCACACGACGACCAAAGTTAACTGTGATATATTGCGCGATGTATTATATAGTTGTTTTTGTAATGTTGATATTTATTAAAATATTTGATTGTTGTCATCAATGTTTTTTCTTTGTGTTTTGAAGTTCTCAGCTTTCTCATTGTATAAAACGACGAAAGTAGATTTCCTAAACTGTTTATCAAACTATTCATATTTCTCATTTGTACATGGCCTCCTTTCGTCCTCTAAATATACATATTCACCAGATTAAGATTATTGTAAAGAGGGACGGAAGCTACTGCGGCCGGTTTTCAGGGAAATTACATACATCGTTGCATTTTCATAGACTAAAAGTATACAACATTTAGGCCTAAACCTTTTAACTCAATTATTTAACATAAATACTGTTTAAGTTTAATGGTTTATTAATCTGTGTTTATAGTCAGTGAATCAAACTGATAGCATCATATTTTAAAATTGGCCGTCGTTTGCCTCACCTCAGAAATCACATGTAAACATACGTTCATACGCATGTGCCCAGAATATTGTCAAAAACCATCACCAGTGTGAAATTAAAGCAATATTGTGTTTATGTCTTCGACACCCAAAATGTCATATGTACCACTTGGCTGATCATCATAAAGTTTACCTTTGTTCTGGACATGGGTAATAAATGTTATACGCCTAGGGCAATTGACTTTCACCTGTGCAACCATTCACTACAAAATATATGCTGTCTTTGCACTGAACAGCCTGACTAGAGCCAATTTGTCGGTCACTGAAAAGGGAATTTTATTTTCGTAACAAAAATACTGCTACTAAATCAAAATAATGAAACATAAAAAATTCCATGAGTCAAACGGAGTATTTTTTAGTGCCAAGGATTTACAAATTACTTTCTTCATTTAAGGGTGATATTTCTGTTGTGAAAAGCTCAAACACGCGTTTTGCTTCGAAAAAATCTAGAAAGCGCGATCAATGTAATAATTGAGATTTGTACTATACTGTTTGTTTTGAAAAGATTAGTGATGAACTTTTGTAGGAAAATATTATTTAAACACAACAATGCTAATAAACTCTATTTGACACAGTATTTCAATTCCATATATTCCATAATAACATCACCGAAACAAATCAATGGATACGTTATAATTAGCACGTCTCGAGACAACCATAATAATCAGATATCAAAATAAATACAAACATGCATTTTCTAGCATCTGAAACAACAACCAGGGCACGTTTGAAACCAAATCCAGGGAGTAGGGAGGTTCATTCTCACTTCGCCAACATTCAGAAATTTACCTGTACTACATGGCCAACATGTCAAATTTTACACCTGAGAGATTTTCAGCTATAGTCTGTTCCTATTTTCCTTGACAGAATATATAAAAATGACAAGTTGAATATGATTTATAAAATAAAGATTTAAATCAATTCATGTAGGAAATCATATTTCAGTCTTATATGTTTGCTGCAATTATTTAATATATATGTACTAAAATCTACATGCATTATGTCATATATTCTAAAATCTTAATCTCAAGAGTTTAAATTGTGAAATGTATTTACAAGTGTTTTAATCAATATTTTTTTTTCAAAATGACAGATTTAGAACTGAAAACGCAAAAAGTCTATTCCGTGCTACCAGTAATTCTAAAATATATAATATCCTATTAGATGTTGTTGTGTCTTCTGTTAATCACTTACATAATTGATAGAATAGTTAAATATGATTAGATATTGTTAACATTAATTGCTTAAATGTTGTTTCATCATTTGATAATTCCGGTTAGTGAAATAATAATTATTCTGTACCTAAATGTTTACCTAATATACCAGTGTTGTTGTAACTCATATTAATTAAAACATGGATGAGATGACAGAAGACATCAAATCTTGGATGGGTGTTACCCTTTTTTCTTGGCTTGGGTGGGTTGGGATTAAAATAAAACATATCAAAGGTCTCGCGTTAATTTTCATATTTTCAAATCACTCATATTCAATGATGGCTAATGCACAGGTTAACATCAACTTCATAGAAAATGGAGGGTGGATATTATCTTCTTCATGCAGGCTACAAGTTTTCCGTCAGGACCAGACGTAATGATAGAGTTTATTGGAGATGTGAACAGAGACCATGCCGGCCTCTAGCTTTGTGGAACCACTATGACAACGATGGCCCACGGACAACAAATCATGTTGAGGGATGGCACAGCAAGGTCAACAAGCTCTGTCAGTATGCGCACCCGAACATCCTTGCGGTTGTTCAGATTCTGAAGAAAATTAAGGCTACCGATAAAGCAAAGATGATCCAACTTTTGACCGGAGGTAAACCAAGACCAAAGAAGAGGAAATACCGCCACATAGACTCTCGCCTTAGTCAACTAAAGGACCAATACAGAAATGGACAAATTGATGTGCTCGGTTATGCTGATGCTGCTTCCCATCTACTGCATTTACAGTAAAATAGTGAAATATACTGCATGTGTTGCATCAAAAAAGAAATATCAGTGATGAAAAATTCTGCTGTGAAAAAAAACCCATTCTAGTACCGAATTGAATTAATTCCTTTCCTTTTGTATGGGAACACCTTTTATAAGCTTTTACCATTGAATTACTAATAGGTGATTTTACTTCATGATATAGAGGATGCACAGAACATTATGATACTCCTATTCAAAAGGACGTTTGAAATCTGGCTACTTTATGTGTCTTCTTTATATGTGTATATACATAAATAATTGAAATAGCTGAAAAATAGTAGCTATATGTGTACTTTCTGATATTCCTATGTTTTTCTATGATTCTATAACTGAAAAATACTAGCTATATGTGTACTTTCTGATATTCCTATGTTTTTCTATAATTAAAAATAGTAGCTATGTTTCTTATATATAGGGTAAATAAGTAAGTGAATAATGTAAATGCATTCAATGTGAAATAAAAATACATGAAATTCTTAAATATCCAGAGTCATTTTTCTCTTGAAAGTAGGAAGCTTTATGAAGCAGTCTATAGCCTTACCTGTAATTATCACACCTAGTCTCACCTGGCCAACAAAATACCTTACCGATATACCCCAAAAATCAAAATGTTGGCTAAGTGAGAAGACACCAGTAGGGAGAGTCTTTATCATGGTAAAATCACTCATCCATGACTCGCCCTTTTCTACCTGTGGGCTGTCGTGCCTACTACACATTAAGCGCTAAGTGATGTAACCCATGGTATCCCGTATAAATAGCTGCAAATTATCATCTTTTCCTATATTGTCATTAATGAACGATTGCAACTGTTGGATTGATGACCTGTCAGCTACAGTTTTTATGGGGGTAAAAAATGTAATTCTATGGTCTGATAACGGAACATTCATCAGTTTGTGTAGATATCAGATTGGTCGAGAATTCTAAAGGAATCATATCTCACTGTGGATAAAAATTACGCTCAAAGTTCCAAAAGAGCATACAATGTAAGATTCATTTGTCACCAGACTATCCACACCGATTTTAATGAAGGTTGAAAGGATGCTTCACCACAAGCTTTGACCATGAACATGAATTTAGAGAAAATCCTATTTTAAACCATTAGAGCAATGATTAGAGGATCCCCGAAGACCGCCACCGGTACTGAGGCGGACCTTTCGAACGGCGCTATTGACGGAGATTGAAATGGCTTTTCAATCCAAGCCAAGACCGTAAAATGGAATTTTGGGGGGGAATATATATATCTTTTGACAGTCATGGATTGTAGGGTACCCGGAGGTAGAGACTAGATATAGGTACTAGGGTTTTGAAATGTGTAAACTGTTGGGAGGATATACATTGTTAAATAAGGCAGACAACTACTTGTACAGCAAGCAACAATAATAAACTAATAACTCGTTATATCTTTGTGTGTCAGATAGAAGAAGAGTTTCCTATTTGCTGAGATGTGTACTAATGGTTATGTACTAAAATCAACAACACGTCTTTCTTGCAGCTGATGCGATTCCCATCAAATTGTCATGAATTCAAACTATTTTAAACATGATCCATCTGTTTTCCAGTGAATTTACATATGAATTTTTCCAAGGGCGTTTTTCATTCCAGCGCCACTTAGAAATCGAATGTGATGTAATACTTTTGACAATAAAGTTACAATATGAATTTAAAAAATGGCAAAACTAAATTCATGCCTTCGTTTGATTTTGTCACTTTGGTTCATTGATAGGTCCATGGAGATGCTTACTTGTAAGCTTAATCGTTTTATCATGTTGTTTTAAACTATTCAAATAGTAGAGCACTTACAAATCAGGAAAATGTCTACGACATTTTGCGGACAATTACATGTATAAAGCCACAGCAAAACGCCAAACGACAAAATGTCCCAGTACTATGTATCAAGTAAATATTGTATCTATATCAAACTTCTTCCGATCTGTCTACCACCGAGTACAAACTATTATATAGACCTGTCTCTCAATCTTAGAAATGTCACATATTGTCGTTTCGTTTTCGACTAGAAAACGTCCTCGCTGAAAAAGAAGTTCAATGGAAATATGTGTTGTTTGGGCAACAATATTTCAACATTACAAAATATTGAAAAAAAAATATGCAGTGACAGATTTTCAACATAATGTATTACATCTTACATTCACCTGGAGCAAATCTGATGATACGGTACATTGTAATAAGTTGCAATATCCCAGAAAATTATTACTATAAATGTCTAAAACAAAAGTATGTGTAACATGATCCTACTCGTTTATATTTTTGAGTATTC